GTTTAGTTAATAAGAATTGGCTGTAGCATGTATTTGGGTAAGATCTGAAACGTTTATTAACCTGGGAGGGAATGTGTCCGATCCTTTGGGGATTGGTAGAACCTTTTCTTTTATATGATGAAATAAGATTTACAGAAATTTTCATCATATTTTACGTGGGTACCTGGATGGAGGCCTGAGGCTGGATGACTTTAAGGGAATTGTGTTGTTTGGACTTCTGCGTAACCAGTAAGGTAATAAAGAAGCTGTTTTATCCTTGGTAAATCTAAATATTGGAATATCCACCAGCTTTATGGGGATTATCTGCCCCCTTCTTTGCAGTTCACCCTAATTGAGTGACCACAGCTGGCTCCCCACTAGGACCCTGGTCACAACTTACAATGTTGGAAGGAATAATATAACTGAATAACAATCACTGCCTGTTTTACTAACAGCACAGTAGAGACTTGCTCAGTCACAACTATTTAGATATATTTCCATGAAAGAAGGTGTAATGTGCATGTTTTGATTATCAGAAATATTATTTTGAAGGTCAAACCGTGAGTTTCGGATTCACTTCCTGGATCTCACTTTTTAGGCCATCAAAAGGACAGAGTTGTGCAAAAGGTGCATGCTCAGGCCTGGAAACACATATGCCAGGCTTCACTCTGCAGTGACTCTCCCTGGTCAGTATAAGAGTGGCACAGAAGGTTGACAACAATATGGGGCCTTGAAGGTGGTAACAGGAATTGAAACAAGATGATATTTGGGAATATCCACACTGACCTCTGGAACAAACAAAGGACAATGGGGAAAAGGTGTCTTGAATTTTTTTCATACATGGAAACAAAACACACACCTGGGAGAGATTTCAAATCACAAAACAAAGCTAGACTTTAGAAACGGAAAATACATTTGACACCCTAAAATACTAGAAAATCGGTCACTCCTTTAAAGTTACCTGCTGGATCTCTAGTTCAGGACTCTGTTTCTTCTGCCATAGCTGATTATATCAGACTATTAAATTAGAGCAGAGTATGTCCTGCTTTCTCAAAACTGGAGTTTGTCTGTGATATTGGCTTAACATTCCTACTCCTTCACAGTTTTAAGTGACAGAGGGATATATAGAATCTTGAATTCAGGATCTAGCAGAAAACAGTTGGCCTAGTTATGCATCTGTTCTGCACACGCAGCTCCTGCAGCATCACATCATAAAAGGAATGTTTTGTTTTTCAATGTACTTCAAATTAAAACTAAGTACAAGTATATTCATAGGTTTCAGAGTAGCAGCCGTGTTAGTCTGTATCCGCAAAAAGAAGAACAGGAGTACTTGTGGCACCTCTAAGTACTTAGTCTCTAAGGTGCCACAAGTACTCCTGTTCTTCTTTTTAAGTATATTCATACTGACTTGAACAAAACATTTTAACGTATACCATAGCCACATTAAACTGCTAACCAATTTGTGCACAGAAATCCTATTCTTTCCTTTAAAAATCATTATTTTAAATGATTTCATTCTAATTTTATTTACTTCTTTTAAGTGATTCTTAACAGGTGTTCGTGCAAGTGAGTTGTACTGTTTTTTTTATTTTATTTTAATAAAGCATCTAGGAATGTACTCCCAATCACATTGCCTCTAACTAAAAATGTTTGACACTTTATAGAAAATATGTCATCTTCTATTGCCATCTGTCCCAAATTTTGCAGGACAGTCTTTATTTTGATAGTTATGTCATCCATCATACAAGATAAATTTGGAGGATATTTATGCAGTATTTAATCTGATTAATGATCTCCCACCTTTGTCAACATATCATGAAGCAATTTATTATATATGTTACCAAAGTACTAATTCCTAACAGTAACAACTCGGTATCCTAAAGGATCCACAAGTGCATTAATACTGGTAAACTTTCCATAGACTTTAGATTTACACAAACTTTACATTTCATGCACCCTCAATATACAGTAACTCCTTAACATCAGACAACAAAACTACATAATGGTTTAGGCCAGAAAGCATGTCTCCCTCCACCCCAAGGTAATTGCAGAGGGAATATAAGTGGACAGAATATAGTAACTGAAGTAGAAATTTGACTAGGACAATGGGGTTAACATTCATCCATTTACCAAAAATGGAATGGATTCTTAATAATTGGAAGATGGCATCTTCAGCAAAAGGTTGCTCTTTAGCAGTGTTCACAGGAACTGGAGTATTGATAAGTTGGAGACAAGGGCACTATCTATTGACTCACTAGCATTTAGGTGTTGTATGGAGGTATAGCCTTGGATTAATTTAGCATGCAAAATTACACAATTCACCAACAACAGGTTCTTTACCGAGGTGGCACCGTAAGTTTATTCTTAAGAAGGCTATTGGGGGTGAGAGACATACAGAACCATAAAAACTTTATTTAATAACCAAATAACTCCAAACATAAGCATTAGCAATAAGAAAATAGATACGCAGATTGTACCAACCCCCAATGATGCCATACTCATAACCCCATGGAAACAAAGAGAGAAGAAAACAGTAAGTGGATATCATCATAAGTGGATGTGAAGCTCAGGCATCCGCCATCTTGTCACCTTGATGAACCCACTAGAGCAGTGGTTCTCAACCTGCAGCCCATGGGCCACTTGCGGCCCATTCAACACACACCTGCGACTGATGTGACATCCTCAGAGCCACATATGTGGCCCACAATGGTAAACAGGTTGAGAATCACTGCACTAGAGGTTAGACATACACCTTATTTTATACCTCTTGTCCCATACAACCTGTAGCCTATAGAGATGATGTCAGCTTATGCTGAGGCCTAGTAGAATATAAGCTAGTGAAGTGAGACAATTTAGAGGCAAAGTAGCCCCAGGTCATGTTGTAAACATGTTTTGCTCTTAATTGTTTTTTTATAAGTTTTAGATAAAATGTTAATGTTTTGGAAATAGATAGTTATTGGTATGGCATTTATGTAGATGTTAATTAAAATTATGCTTAATGTTAAACAGCCAATGAGAAAGCAGAAAAATTATGATTAAAAAGGAGGATTTAATGCTAATTAATTAAAGGGTGGTATTATAATTGATTATAAAAAGGGTAGAAGGCTGATTTTAGATGCCCATCCACCACTGATGGATTATACCCATTCTTCCCATCCAGGGACTGATCCCCCGGATGCATCATTTCATTTTAGAATGTGAGTATAAATGCAGTGTATGCAGTGGTGAGCTGGAGCCGGTTCACACCGGTTTGCAAGAACTGGTTGTTAAATTTAGAAGTCGATGTAGAACCGGTTGTAAAGGGGCCGGCGAGTGGGCAAACTCCTGTCCAGCCCGCCTGAGCTCCTAGCTGGGGAGGCTCCCCCCACCCTTCCCCCGCTTCCCCCACACACACAGAGCCCCAGCACGCTGTGCCGCCGGCGCCGGCGCTCTGGGCAGCTCTGCAGCTCCTGCCTCTTTGAGCAGCATGGTAAGGGGGCCGGGGCTGGGAGGAGGGGTTAGATAAGGGGCAGGGAGCGGTTGAAGGAGACGGAGGTTCTGGGGGGGCGGTCAGGGGATGGGGAACGGGGGGGTTGGGTAGGCATGGGAGTTCCGGGGGTCTGTCGGGGTGGTGGTGGATGGGTTGGGGCAGTCAGTGGACAGGGAGTGGGGCGAGTTGGGTAGGGGGTGGGGTCCTGGGGGGCAGTTAGAGTGGGGGGGGTCTCAGGAGGGGGTGGTCAGGGGAAAAGGAGTGGGGGGGATTGATGGGTTGCGGGTTCTGAGGGGGG